TTGCAAAACATACAGCCAAAGGAAACTGTCTTCTTGTGAATTTGAAGGGAATCTTTTTTTCTGATGGAGTTAAAGACATTCTTGGAATAAAAGTCCGATTTCCAATATTAGTTCCAGTTATTATACGTGCCTCAATAACACGTTTGCCCAATGATAACACCTGTAGTCTTGTGCCATTACATAAGCCGTTTTTCTGATCAATATTTCTCAGTAACATTACTGGAACACCAATTTTTAAAACTAATTTATGATTTGGTAAACCGGATACTTTGAGTCCATTTAATACATCAGGAGAGTATAGATTTGCATCAAATTGATCATGGAGAAATTCGGATTCACATATGCAGTCTGAACTTAAATATTCAACTTGATCTCCTGGAAACTTCTTAAGTAAACGGTCGTTTATTTCCTGGACAACTTCATTTTTTGGAGCAAGTATCGCTCTTTCTTGGAAATAATTTATATCGCTATAGTACTCTAAAATTGAAGGATATACAAACTCAATTAAGGAACCTATAGGATCATGTGAATCATTAATGAGAATATCATCCGGAATATCGATAATCGTTTCACCGTCGTTCGGACCACCAAGTTTTCCTTCTCCTATATCCAACAACCAATTTGCAAAATCTCTTATTTTTCCTATATCTGATTGATCCCTTCCAACAGTTAGCCTCATGTTTTTTGTTAATCTATGGACTTTGCAATGTTCCCATAAATATGAAGAACTCAAAGAAGCATTTACAATGTTCTGTCTACTGCCACCCGGCACAACAGGTAGAATTTGTCTAAAATCTCCTCCAAAGACAATAACTTTCCCTCCAAATGGAATATTTGAGATGGTTGAATTTACGCACCTTAATAAATCCTTCAAAGTTCGATCTAAAGCTTCAAATGCATGCTTATGGACCATAGGTGCTTCATCCCAAATTATCAAAGAGGTTTTCCTTATTAAGCTTGCCAACTCACCGTCTGGATTTATGTTACAAAAAGAATCATCTGTAAGCTCAAATGGAATTATAAATCGAGAGTGTGCTGTTCTACCACCGGGCAATAATAAGGAAGCAATACCACTTGAAGCAACATTTAATACAATATTTCCTTCAGATCTAATTGCTGCAGATATTGTTTTCCATAAAAAAGTTTTACCCGTTCCACCATACCCGTAAACAAAGAAGACACCTCCTTTATTTTGTTGAATAGCACTCTTGATGTTTAGGAAAATGTTCCGTTGCTCATTTGTTAATGCAAGAAACATACGATCATAGTCATTCTTTATCACGGGAATGTCGTAATCTAGTTCCTCGGTGATAAGTCGATTGTTTGAAGAAGAAACGGATTCAACATCTGGGTATGGCATGTTTTTGAAGTTTTTGAGAGTAGAGTTGTTTCGAAGTAAAATTTGTTGTATTTCGAACAAAGTTAAGTTCTTAAGTTCATCTACTCCGAGAGACAATTCTGCACGAAAATATTAAATAATTAATAAAATACGTGGTTGATATTTAATAATTTCATTACTAATTATTTAATGGGTGTTGAAAAATAAAAATAAATTAATTTTAAAAAATAAGAAAAAATGTAATACCTGCTGACTTAAATCTTCGTCGTTGGCTATATAGAATTCCATCTGCCAAATATTCCCATGTATTTTCCCAAACGATCTCTGGTTTAGACATACTATTACACATCAACAATGTAGCAAATAAAAAGCGTAGATAAAAACCAGATCCAGAATGACTTGCTTCTTTAATTGCATCAATGTATTCCTTGTCATCATCTAATAGCCCGAGTGCATAACAGGCATCTCTAAAAGAAGAATGTGTTTCTCCATTTACCGTGCGAATTTCATCAAATGATGTTGGTCCTTTTACTTTATTTAAAAGAATCCTTAAGAAAATATGCTTCACCTAGTTTAGGTGAAACTGAATGAATTCTACCGATGGCTTTTCCTACTTTTGGAGTCAAATGCAGTTCACGTGTAAAAGCAAAAATGTTCGCATTTGGTAATACAAATCAAAATTGGGTTTCGCATATGAGGTTGTATGGATTGGGGTTAAAGATACGAAGGTGATTATGGTTAATATTCATTTCGTATTTGGTGAGACAAACAACTCAAATGCGAATGAACTAAAAAAAAATGACTGGAACATGCGAAGAAAGAGGGTGAATGAAGAATGTGAATTTTACAGTAGAATGCGAATTGGGGAAGAAAGCTAAGAATTTCGCATTTTTAATATACAAATTGATTGATTGATTGATTTGTCTTAATTGTTAATTGCGATATATGAAATACTTATCAATTTAGGGGCAATATGGTCATTTTGAAGTAAAAGAAGCCTTGGTTATTAAATGAATCATACGAAGGATCTGTTATTTGATTTTGGAATTGGGGCGAATAATCGAACCATTTGGAGTTGCGAATTTGATTTTGAAAATCCAATCAGTTGGGTTCGCATATGAAAACAGATAAGTTTTGATTTTCGATTAGCAATTGGGTTAATTGGGTTATTGATTGAGGGACGATTCGTGAACAAAAATGCGAAGTCAAGAAGGACTGTGAAATGTGATTTGTTCAATATTGGAGTCAAATGCAGTTCACGTGTAAAAGCAAAAATGTTCGCATTTGGTAATACAAATCAAAATTGGGTTTCGCATATGAGGTTGTATGGATTGGGGTTAAAGATACGAAGGTGATTATGGTTAATATTCATTTCGTATTTGGTGAGACAAACAACTCAAATGCGAATGAACTAAAAAAAAATGACTGGAACATGCGAAGAAAGAGGGTGAATGAAGAATGTGAATTTTACAGTAGAATGCGAATTGGGGAAGAAAGCTAAGAATTTCGCATTTTTAATATACAAATTGATTGATTGATTGATTTGTCTTAATTGTTAATTGCGATATATGAAATACTTATCAAGTTAGGGGCAATATGGTCATTTTGAAGTAAAAGAAGCCTTGGTTATTAAATGAATCATACGAAGGATCTGTTATTTGATTTTGGAATTGGGGCGAATAATCGAACCATTTGGAGTTGCGAATTTGATTTTGAAAAGCCAATCAGTTGGGTTCGCATATGAAAACAGATAAGTTTTGATTTTCGATTAGCAATTGGGTTAATTGGGTTATTGATTGAGGGACGATTCGTGAAGAAAAATGCGAAGTCAAGAAGGACTGTGAAATGTGATTTGTTCAATATTGGAGTCAAATGCAGTTCACGTGTAAAAGCAAAAATGTTCGCATTTGGTAATACAAATCAAAATTGGGTTTCGCATATGAGGTTGTATGGATTGGGGTTAAAGATACGAAGGTGATTATGGTTAATATTCATTTCGTATTTGGTGAGACAAACAACTCAAATGCGAATGAACTAAAAAAAAATGACTGGAACATGCGAAGAAAGAGGGTGAATGAAGAATGTGAATTTTACAGTAGAATGCGAATTGGGGAAGAAAGCTAAGAATTTCGCATTTTTAATATACAAATTGATTGATTGATTGATTTGTCTTAATTGTTAATTGCGATATATGAAATACTTATCAAGTTAGGGGCAATATGGTCATTTTGAAGTAAAAGAAGCCTTGGTTATTAAATGAATCATACGAAGGATCTGTTATTTGATTTTGGAATTGGGGCGAATAATCGAACCATTTGGAGTTGCGAATTTGATTTTGAAAAGCCAATCAGTTGGGTTCGCATATGAAAACAGATAAGTTTTGATTTTCGATTAGCAATTGGGTTAATTGGGTTATTGATTGAGGGACGATTCGTGAAGAAAAATGCGAAGTCAAGAAGGACTGTGAAATGTGATTTGTTCAATATTGGAGTCAAATGCAGTTCACGTGTAAAAGCAAAAATGTTCGCATTTGGTAATACAAATCAAAATTAGGTTTCGCATATGAGGTTGTATGGATTGGGGTTAAAGATACGAAGGTGATTATGGTTAATATTCATTTCGTATTTGGTGAGACAAACAACTCAAATGCAAATGAACTAAAAAAAAATACTGGAACATGCGAAGAAAGAGGGTGAATGAAGAATGTGAATTTTACAGTAGAATGCGAATTGGGGAAGAAAGCTAAGAATTTCGCATTTTTATATACAAATTGATTGATTGATTGATTTGTCTTAATTGTTAATTGCGATATATGAAATACTTATCAAGTTAGGGGCAATATGGTCATTTTGAAGTAAAAGAAGCCTTGGTTATTAAATGAATCATACGAAGGATCTGTTATTTGATTTTGGAATTGGGGCGAATAATCGAACCATTTGGAGTTGCAAATTTGATTTTGAAAAGCCAATCAGTTGGGTTCGCATATGAAAACAGATAAGTTTTGATTTTCGATTAGCATTGGGTTAATTGGGTTATTGATTGAGGGACGATTCGTGAAGAAAAATGCGAAGTCAAGAAGGACTGTGAAATGTGATTTGTTCAATATTGGAGTCAAATGCAGTTCACGTGTAAAAGCAAAAATGTTCGCATTTGGTAATACAAATCAAAATTGGGTTTCGCATATGAGGTTGTATGGATTGGGGTTAAAGATACGAAGGTGATTATGGTTAATATTCATTTCGTATTTGGTGAGACAAACAACTCAAATGCGAATGAACTAAAAAAAAAATGACTGGAACATGCGAAAAAAGAGGGTGAATGAAGAATGTGAATTTTACAGTAGAATGCGAATTGGGGAAGAAAGCTAAGAATTTCGCATTTTTAATATACAAATTGATTGATTGATTGATTTGTCTTAATTGTTAATTGCGATATATGAAATACTTATTTAGTTAGGGGCAATATATTTTATTTGAGTTATAACCAAAATCAACTAACTTGTCCAATTTAAAACAATAAAAGTATCCAAAAATATTCAAAACCAATAATATTTGACATCCTAAATACCCCAAAATTCAAATCATACCAAGCAATTAAAATATATTTATAACCAAAACAAATAATCAAAATATATTAAATGTGTCTTATAACCGATAGACACTCACTTTTCAATTTTTGGAATCAAGAGTGGAGTTTCCTCTGCGGTTGACTTTCTTTTAGCCTTAGTTGAACTTAAATCATATCCAGAATCAACATCATAAATTTCTTGGAGGTTGCGCTTCAAATCACCTGATATTTTGCAAGGACTTGTTGCGGTTGACTTATCAACTGTTGAGGGTGTAAAACTTTCGTCTGTTTGTGAGATCACATCCTAATTTAAAAAAAAAATGTTTGATTCCTAAAAAAAACAACTAATATAATTAAAAGTTTATAAAATAAAATGAAAAACCTTTTGAACAGGCTGTACAACATCATCGGATTCCAAAGCAACTTGATTTAAGGCGACAGATTGATTACTCTAAAAAATAAAATGGAAATATGTTAATCGTTATGTACTTTAACATTAAAGAATTGTAAAAGCAAAAATGTTCGCATTTGGTAATACAAATCAAAATTGGGTTTCGCATATGAGGTTGTATGGATTGGGGTTAAAGATGCGAAGGTGATTATGGTTAATATTCATTTCGTATTTGGTGAGACAAACAACTCAAATGCGAATGAACTAAAAAAAAAATGACTGGAACATGCGAAGAAAGAGGATGAATGAAGAATGTGAATTTTACAGTAGAATGCGAATTGGGGAAGAAAGCTAAGAATTTTGCATTTTTATTATACAAATTGATTGATTGATTGATTTGTCTTAATTGTTAATTGCGATATATGAAATACTTATCAATTTAGGGGCAATATGGTCATTTTGAAGTAAAAGAAGCCTTGGTTATTAAATGAATCATACGAAGGATCTGTTATTTGATTTTGGAATTGGGGCGAAAATTAGCAACCTTTTAAATTAACAGCAAATCAAAGTAAATGAAACAGCAAAACAAAAAAAACATATTGTAATAGTTAAAGCTTTGAAGAACAGTTTTTTTTAAAGAAAATAAAGTTCTCATTTTTATTACTAATTTCGTATTTTGTAATCATTTTCATTAACATTTACGTCTTTTAAACTGAAAAGGTAGAAGAAGAACATGATTAAGAAGAATTAGCAAAAGGAAGAAGAAGAACATCACTAATAAAATGAAAAATGATAGAAACTGGTAAATCAGACAATTAAGAGGTTAGAAATATTAGTAATGCTGATATTTTAATACACTAACCTGATATTATAATTTTTGAAGCGTTGCAGAATCAAGAAGAATGAAGAAGAATACGTTTGCAAATATTACTATGGAGCAGAATTTGTTTGGAGCAGAATGGTAAAAAGAAAATAACCGTATAAATGCTATTTACGTTTGAATAAATAAGAATAAGAATTAAGAAGATTACGTTTGAAAAAGATAAATATTGCAGATTTTTAGGGATTTAATTTGCAATCAAAATAAACAAACTTTCAAAATAATGAAGATTACGTTTGAAAAAGATAAATATTGCAGATTGATTAACATATTTGTTTGCAGATTTTTCCGGAATTATTGATTTTGCATTGTATGGCATTTACGTAAATATAGATGAATAAAATGAGCGGGAAAACTCTATTTTGGAGGTCTTATAGATTGACACGTGGCAGAGTTCTACTTATTTATTAGAATTAGGATATATATATATATATATATATATATATATATATATATATATATATATATATATATATATATATATATATATATATATATATATATATATATAGGAAAAAGTGAATATACCCTTAAGGGTATATAAGCTTAGGTACCCAAACTGATAATATTACGTCGTTTTGTATCATATAATACATTATAATTGTCCAATGTTCTTATAATTTATCTTTTAAATTGATTTACTTCATGATTTTTATAAATTACACATTTATCTTCCTCTTACATAATTTTCATTTTCAACTACAATATATATAGTCTAATAGGTTATCGACAATAAGATATGATATAAGAGAAAGATAATACTAAAATTTCGAAAATCTTGAAATTAAATCAAGTTAGGGGTTGAAGTTTAAGAATATTATAATGAATATACCAAACAAAACGATATATTATGGTGTGTTTGGGTACCTAAGCTTATATACCCTTAGGAGTATATTCACTTTTCTCATATATATATATATATATATATATAGAACAACATCACATTTTATAAAAAACAAAAAACAAAAAACAAAACCTATACCAAGAAACTAGAAAAAATAACAAATTACATTTGAATTGGATTTTGCATCCACATCATCTTTGTGATACTAGCCTTAAAATTTCGTAAAAAAAATAGATATAAAATACTCATTTTGATAGGATAAGAATATTAAACTATAATTTCCATAACATTTATTTATATTTAATTTAACAAAACTAATATACACACAGTTATTTGTAGGCAGCGATCAAAACTTCTTGTCACATAAAAATTGAAATAACGAGGAAATTATATATATATATATATATATATATATATATATATATATATATATATATATATATATATATATATATATATATAAAGAGAGAGAGGTAATGTTCAAATGAGAACAAAAAAAATATTAAAAACCTTAGTAATTATTTATTTTGGTCTATTTTTTCAAACTTATTTTACAAGAAAACTTTCTAAACCCTCTCAAAGTCTCCCAATAACACTTTCTTCTTTTATTATATCAAATTTACACACTACACAAACTATATCTTCTCTGTCATCACAAACTTGAAGAACACATAAACATTGCCACTAGTTGCCACCAACCACCACCCCTTGATGTTGTCGCCTCTTACCGTCGGCGTACCGTCGCCGCCTACGACCATCGACGAACCACCACCATCAGATCCACAAGCTCCGGTTGGCTCCAGAATTACAGTTTTCAGCTTCATATCTATGGCTTTAGTTTTCAGATCTATGATTTTCTTACGACTTTCATATTCATATCTATGATTTTTGTATTCAGATCTACCATTTTCGTCTTCAGATCTACCATTTTCTCCTCAAGATTTATGAGCTCCAGCGAGCGGTGATAACCACCACCTTCGTCCATCACTGTCACCGCCAACGGAAACACGTATCTGACAATATCTGATGAAAATACTTCCATATCCACCGTCAATCGCCACCTGGTCTAAGATTTGGAGTCACGAAATTATTTCGGCTTCACTTTCCAAACCCTCTCAAACTCTCCCACCTACACTTTCCTCTTTTATTATATTAGATCTACACACTACACAAACTCTATCTTCTCTCTCATCACAAACTTGAAGAACACATAAACATTGCCACCAATAGCCACTAGCCACCACCCCCTCTTGTCCCGGCCTCCTACTGTCGGCATACCGTTGCCGCCTACGACCACCGACGAACCACTGCCATCAGATCCACAAGCTCCCGTTGGATCCAAATCTATAGTTTTCAGCTTTAGATCTATGACTTTAGTTTTCCAATCTATGATTTTCTTACGACTTTCATCTTCATATCTACGATTTTTGTATTTAGATCTACGACTTTCGTCTTTAGATCTACCATTTTCGTCTTCAGATCTACCATTTCTCCTCAAGATTTATGAGCTCCGGTGAGCGGTGATAACCACCACCTTCGTCCATCACTGTCGCAGCCAACGGAAACACATATCTGACAAGATCTGATGAAAATACTTTCATATCCACCGTCGATCGACACCCGGTCTAAGATTTGGAGTCACAAAATTGTTTCAACTTCACTTTCCCTCTCTAAAACGCAAAACATCTTAGTTCTGGTGCGATTTGGTCAGAGCTTATACAACCGTCATCACCGTCAACTTCGTTTCCACCATTGCTACCACTACTAATGTCACACCACAATCTCCTACTGTCGACATCATGTTCAGATCTAGTTAGATCTGGTGTGTATGGTTCTATTTTTCTAGATTTGGTTTATATGGTGCTATTTCATGCATATATCTGAAGCTATAATAGTGGTACCGGTAGCTAATGGTAGTTCCACCACCTTAGATACGTTTCAATATTGTCGCCTTCTCCATCTCTTTCTCTCTGACCTCTGGTGAAACACTTCAGGTATGTCAATCTTTTATTTATTATTATTTTTTTTCCTTCTGTTAAGTTGTGAATTTAATGTTTTAATATCTCAGTTATTATTTATTTTTGTTGATTATAGTTTTTTCTGTTGTTAAGTTGTGGATCCATTCTTTTTTTTTTTCTTATTTGTTATAACATATGCATCAAATTGTTATTCCTAGTTTATATTTGATGGTTGTTATACTATGAATTAAAACATAGAAGATGTGTTATTATGTTAATGTTTTCTAGAATATTGTGAATTTTTTTAAGCTGTGAATTATGATTATTAATGTTTTAACTATTGTTTGGTTTTAATTGTGAATGGGTGAATTGATATGGTTTTATGTAGTGAATACTATGAAAGAAAGTACTAAACTATTTTTCTTGTTTGTTTTTTCTATTAAAGTGTTAATTTGAAGTTTTAATCTCTCATTTGTCGTATAATTTTGTTAATCTTATTTTTAACTCCTATTAAGTGGTCAATGTATATTTTTTTTTGAATTAAACTTTGAATTTATTATACTAGTTTGTGAATTTTCTATATTAAATTGTGTATTAAATGTAATAAGTGTTTTAAGTTGAAAATATGGATGTGAATACTACTTTTTGTATATTAAAATGTGAATTTAGTATACTAAACTGTGATTTTTGTGTTTTAAACTGTAAATTGATTGCATTAAGCTTTGAATTTTCTTTTTGAACTACGAATTAATAGCATTAAGCTGTGAATTTTCTATTTAAACTGTAAATTGATAAGATTATGTTGTGAATTATGTGTATGAAAGTATGAAGTTATTTGTATTAAGCTATGAATTTTGTGTATAAACTTTGAATTGACTATATAAAGAGTGTTAACTTGAAAATATGGTTGTGGATGCCTACTTTTTTTGTATTAAATTTTGAATTTTGTGTACTAAACTGTGATTTTTTGTGTTTTAAAGTGTGAATTGACTGCATTAAACTGTAAATTTTCTTTTTAGACAATGAATTGATTATATTAAGCTGTAAATTTTGTGTATTAAATTATGAATTAATTGTACTAAATTGTGAATGAATTGACATTAAGTTGTGATTATTTTATAATTTTTTTGGTTGCTTTTGAAATAATGTAAATTTTATTCACGGCTTAATATATTAAATTCCCAATTTAAAATATATAATTTTTTTTATTAATTTTCTTCTGAATATATTTATTTTTTGTGTTGTATATGTATGTAAGAATACATTAGTTTTCATAATAGTTTTGCATTAAATTCAAAATGAGTGAAATAAAGTGTTTTATTAGACTGTGAATGTACTATTTAAGTTATTAATGCACGACTTTATTTACAGATCTGATTTAGAAGAAAATGATGGTTGTGATGCTGGTATAGGTGGTTGATGGCCAGGGTCGGTCCAAACGTATATGGGGTTCGGAGCGAAAAACAAAAAAAGGCCCCTTAAAGACAAATATAATAAAAATTCAAAAAAATATTATTTATTTTTCACTATAAACGCGTTCAATTAGCAATAAAAAACATATCAAATTGTTTATCTTTTGACCTAGTTTGATTTTGAACCAACTTTAAGCCCTAAAAATCATTTAGGTAATAATTTTTTTATATATATCATTACATAGCCCATAAATTTTGGGCCCTCTGGTGACGTGGGCCCTGGGCGGTCGCCCGGGTTGCCCACCGTCTGGACCGGCCCTGTTGGTGGCAGCATATGGTGGTGGTGCTAGTAGAGTTTGAATTTTTGATTTCTTTGCGTTTGTGAATTATTGTAAAATGGTTTTATTAAGTTTTGAATTTTGTGAATTAATCAAGAGTAAATTACTGAAATCGTCCTTATGGTTTGGTCAAAATTGCACGTTTGGTCCCTCATTTTTTTTTGCACTCGGATCGTCCCTTTGGTTTGATTTTGTTGCGTTTTTCGTCCCTATGGTTTGGTAAAAAATGCATGTTTGGTCCCTAACTTTATGTATGTAAGGGATGAAAAATGCAACAAAATCAAACCACAGGGACAAAAAACGCAACAAAATCAAACCACAAGGACGATCGGAGTGGAAAAAAAATTAGGGACCAAACGTGCAATTTTGACCAAACCACAGGGACGATTTAAGTAATTTTACCCTTTTTTTTTTATCAAAAAGAGAAAAAAAAAGATTTTCATATATTTAATAAAAATATGGGTAAATTACACCAACTGTCCATTGTGTAGGTGTCAGAAAGCACGTTTGGTCCCTATTTTCAAAAATTAAGTTGGACCATCTCTCATTTGGTTAAAAGTTGCACACTTCGTCCCTCGTAAGTTTAAATTTGCAAGCTTCATCCCTTATGAGTCATAAAATGACTATTATGCCCTTTTGTATTTCTTTTTTAATTAATTTAAATGTTATAATAATTATTATTAATTTAAAAATAAAAGAAAAAACCCCAACATCCCTACCACCCTACCCCTCCCCCTACTTTCCTTTTGCTCATCTCTCTTCCTCCATCTTCTGTTAACTCTTGAAAAACCACTAATCCACCACTTCCGACCAACCACCACCGCAACACATCCCTTAAAGTCAAATTCGGACACTTTTTTTGTTTATAACCTACCGTATTCATAGAACCATCAACCATTTTTTCCTAAAAACTGCCTTCACCATGAACCACTTCACCAGGAACACCGGTTGCCCATCACGGAACCCACCCTCTACACCACCTGTTTCTAACCTCTTCACCACCGAAACAAACCGTTGTCGCCGCCACCCTCGAAAATTGTTGCCTTCAAATGCCACCATTTTAAAATCAAACTTGTTCCTAAATACCGACAACCATTTCTGAACTTCACCTTCACCAAAAGCGCATATAACTGCCACAAATCAGGGCCATAAAACCATCTCCCTCGAATATGGTCCCTTCTCTGTCTCTATCGTCGATGGAGAATACTGGGTTCGATCTGAGCTTGCTTCTCCAATCTAAATCTCCCTCTTCTTCGATTTACAAGTTTAGGGTTCGTTTTTTGAGATTTGAATGATAACCAGTGGTAGTTACAGGAGGCACTAGCAGTGATAGATGGAGGTGACGGAGATTAGAAAGAGGATAAGAGAGAGAGAGAGAGAGAGAGAGAGAGAGAAAGAGAGAGAATAGCGGAGATGGTCGCTCAAATTCAAAGAAGAAGAAGAAAGAACATTGGGGAAAGGGAAGGGGGTGGCTTGGTGGAGTCGCCCGAAGATGTTCCCAGAGTATCGAAGACGGCCGAAGGTGTCGTCGGAGTGTCGGTGTCGGTAGAGTCGCCACTGTGGATGGTGATGGGGGATAGGAGGTGTGTCGAAGAAGAAAGGGGTTGGGGGACAAGTTATGAACGTCTGCTTAGGGCCCCTATTCTTTTTAAAAGTTTTTTTTTTAATAAATAAGTAATTATTAATTACAAACAAATAGAAAAATAAATAAATAAGGGCAAAATGGTCTTTTTATGTCCAAAGGGATGAATCATGCAACTTTTAACCAAACGAGGGACGGTCCGAGTTAATTTTTGAAAATAAAGACTGAGCATGCTTGGTGTCACCTGCACGAGGGACGATTGGTATAATTTACCTTAAAAATATCATGTAAATATTTACTAACTAATGAGGGTTCTTAGGGTTCTTAATCTTTTGTGGTTCTCATTTGAATCACTCCGCATATATATATATATATATATATATATATATATATATATATATATATATAATCAAATTTTAAAAATATCGGTTATAATTATATAAGTTTGAATCTTGAAATGACCTCATTTTATAACATAAATTTCTATAAAAAAAATTGCTGCAATTTTTATTTACTGAAACCAACCTTCTGTCCTTACAGTTTGCGTATAATTAATGATAGAATCATAATATATGCCAACTTATTTTTACCAAAAATCACCACCTTTCACGTTAAACTTTTCAGCAAGTTACATATACACAACTAATGCCCTTTCACTCATTCAATTCACTCTTTTCATAACCACTACCAACCTTCTCTCTCTAAAACCTTCACACACCACACCAGTCACCAGGCGAATGAACTTTATGCAAAAATCCACGGCGAAGACAAGTCATGATCGAGCCCACCAAATCATCACAGGAAAGCGTACGGAGCACCAGAGGCCTTGTTCATCTCTTGGTATGGCGCCTGAGACAACTTCTAGCTCCTATAACGGCGGTGCTGGTTGTATGTTCAGTTACTACACAACTGGTAGTTCACCGACGGTGTCATCGGACGAAGAAGAAGAAGAGGATATGGCGAATTGCTTGATTATGTTGGCTCACAGTGTTTCTCCGGCCAAGGAAAATAAATCAGATCTCCATTGCCAGAAGAACGAGAAATTGAAGAATCGGAAGTTAACGGAGATGGCCGCAACTACCACCGCCGGAGCAAAATCCGATTTCCAAAATTACTACGAGTGTAAAACCTGTAACCGTATTTTTCCGTCGTTCCAAGCCCTAGGTGGACACAGAGCCAGCCACAAGAAACCTAAGCTTAGCGTTGAAGATCGGAAATCCGTTTCCGTTAAAACGGAATCAACCGCAGAAGATCAACCAGAAGTTGAAAGTAAAATTATTACAAACCAAAACAAATCTCCTCGGCCATTAACAGGACACAAGAACAGTAAGGGAAAAGTTCATGAATGCTCCATATGTGGATCGGAGTTCTTATCAGGACAAGCTCTCGGGGGTCACATGAGAAGACACCGTCCACCTCCGGTTACTAACAGTCAAATCGCTGTATCATCGAATATGGACGATACGACTACGAGGGCTAATCATTCCCCTACGAGGTCGCCGGCGGCGCCGGTGCTATCCTTAGATCTAAACCTTCCCGCACCGGAGGTCGTTGACGACATCCATTCAAACTTTCAGTACACTGCAAATTCTCCAAAACAACCTCTTGTCTTCTCCGTCCAAGCTCTGGTAGATTGCCATTACTGAACAAGAAGCAAACGAAGAGCTCTATACTTACCATATTGAGGTTAATCCGAAACATTTTTACAGTTACAATTTTATTTTTCCAGATATAATTATAGTTTGTTAAGAATTGATTAATGTGAAGAATTAAACATACAATTTTATTTAATTAAACAACTCATTTACTTATCAAGTATAACTAATAATAATATTTTTGTCGTTGAAAACTTGAAATGGTGTAGTGAGTGTGGAATACTTTGAGTAAGTGGTGAGTGTTGAAACCATAATGTAATGCATGTCATGCCTTGTCTTTCTATTTCATTCACCAAAAAGTGAGTCGTACATAAAATCGGCATCTTTTCATTTCTTACAATATTTAAAAATAAAGACAAAAGTCGGTTTCAAAACAAATTTTAACCAAACTTTTATATATAGTTGACAAGTATCTATACTTTACACGATTCTAAAGTCTTGAAATGGTGTGGACACATGGATGAGTTGCTATTTTAGTGTCCAAAAGCCTAATTTACTTGTTTTATTAGGCTAAACTAAAAAGCACATAGACTAACTTTCTTGATTTAGGACGATTAACTGTCCAAGTTGTGTGAAGCATGGAGTCGAGCAAGTGTATTGAGAAAGACAAGATGTGAATGAGTAGGGTTTGGCACAAGGAGCACCACATCCAAAAGTGGTGGATTAGGTTCGTCTATTTTTGGTTTTGCACCACACAAATACAAGCAAATTTTGGCATGGTTTGGGCCTAATTTAACATAAAAAAAAAACTTAATCAAGCTTCATTTTGATTTTAAAATATCATACATTCATTGAAATACAACTTTATTAGATAGTAAACAATGGAGCTTTACTCGTGACTGTTCATTGTAGAGAAAATATGATAACCCCACAAGGATTTGTGGATTTCTGGTGTGTGATGCATTAGTGTGTGTGATGCATTAGTTTAAATAATGATTAAAGATGCACAAAAAATAAATGTGAGGGTAAAAACTTCGTAAAGATGTCATAAACTTGTGCGAAGATGGAACATGTAGCACATGGATATAAGGATATAACCGAGAGCAACATGCTCCTTATAAAGTGTATATTTATTTCAACATGCTTTGTGCTTCGATATTTTTACATAATTTTGAATCAAGGTAAATGATACATTATCATAAAAGACAACAATAACATGAGATAAGGGACAATAGAGTTCAAGAAGAAGGTTATGAAGCCAAGCGGCCTCAATGACATTAGCCATATGTAGTACTCAACTTCCACACTCGAATGAGACACAACATGTTATCATTTAGATGAAAAAGAGACAAGATTATCACTTAGAAAGAAAAATTAACTTGAAATGGAGTGATAAGTTTATGGATATCTCGCTAAGTCTGTGTTAGTGTACAAGACTAATTTGTTCACTATAACATGAAAAAAGTTAAAGGCTATGGGAGAGCGAATTTTGAAGATAGATAATGATATGTTTTTAACGCATGCATAAAGATTATTATGGGTCGTACATATAAATATAGGCTTGATGGACGTCACAAGTTATATAAAGATGCATAAAAGTAAGGTACTATAGAGCCCCAACGAGGCTACGATAAAGAGTCAGATCAAGAACAAGTTTAAATGATAGTTTTCATTTTGTGTCAGTATGAGTGCTACATGGGTTACACATGAACATATTGGCACGTGTGAGAATGTCACAAGAAAATGTTATTTGAAAATGATAGAGAATGTCCAAAAAAGAAAGAAAACTAAGATTAATTATCGAAAATTCGATGAATAATCTGTTGGATTAAGTGCCTAAGCTCATAACTATAATTGGTTTGTATTTGACCCGATAGTAGCATGGTCCTTTTTGATTGCCTTCACCATAGCAATTTGATAGGATGGATAATTGAGAAAGAGGTTAATTGTGATGTATTAATATATTATAAAAATAATATATTAATTGAGAAATCATATTATTTAATTAGTATTAATCAAGAATTAATTTGTAATTAATTTAGTGATCAAAAGAGACTGATTAAATTAATAGGGACTGATTAGGTAGATCAGTAATACTTATAGTTTGAGCTAATGATCCATATTGATTAGGGATGGACGAAATCTATTTGGGGTCCATGAAGATTTCGTCCAAGGGCCTATCATAAGGATTATTGGATTGCTTAAGGCCTAAGCAAGTAAATTAGGGTTTCCAAGATTGAAACCCTAAGGAGCCTACACTATAAATACAACCCCTAGCACTCACAAAATCGACCCTATGCTTCTAAGAGAAACTCTAGCCGATTTTGAGTGCCTCCCAACCTCTCTCATATTCTTCCAACTTGTTTTTGTTGTTTGTGACTTATTAGAGGTATTGCATATAAGGTACTAATCTCTTGAAGACCAAGGATTACAAGCTACAACAAAGAGGTATTCATCTAACTTGTTTTATGTTGTAAATCTCAAAAATTGTATGCTAGTTAGGGTTCATGCTTTGGATAATTCAATATTTCATGTATAACTTAAGAAAACCTAGATCCAAAGCAGTAGGGTTGCATATGCACCATCGGATTGTTGTAGTGCTCAAAACACATCAATGATATCAGAGAGCTTAGGGTGTTTTCTATTATATTGATGCATTGGTTAACTGTTCAAAGATGAAGCAAATCGAAATCTGCATGCTGCCTGATGAACTTGATGAGTCCATTGTAGGACTCGATGAGTCCATTGCCTGACTCGACGAGTCGGCTCGTCTGTTGGCAGATTTTTTGTGATTTTGACCAGAAGTGGATTCGGATCATTACCAAAAACTGTTTGGACCAATAAAATTCAAAATTTCTGATATGGTAATGTTTATCCTCATCCAATTAAAAGATAATTGTTAAATTTTAAGATAATTACTAGATTACATGATAAACTAATTATTTGTATTATTTAATTTGAATTATCTTGCCATATAAGTATATTAGTTCAAATTTTATGATAAATATTAATTATATGATTATTTAATTGTTTTCAAATTTGATCTAAAAGGTTTTGAAAAGTTTCAAAATTTTCCCTCAAGTTTTGGAATTCAAATTATTGATTAAAAAGTTTTGATTTTGAAATATTTAAATTCGAAACCCTAGAGTTTTAAAAGTTTAAAATTCAACCATTATACTATTATAATATATATATATATATATATATATATGTATGTATGTATAAGACAAGTTAGTCTTACTGTTAGTAGACGTCATTCATGAAGCCAATTTATAAGGGGTATAAGGAAACTGCCTATAAAATGGTGGTTGAATGGGCGTCCACTCTCACCCACCACTTTCTTGATTGGTGGAGGATCGTTAGCTGAACGGATAGGATAGGACAAACTAATTCCCCATTAATAAGTATAATGATATTATAAATTAACTAAATGTTTTCATAAATTCCCAATCTTAGTTACTTTAGGAAAAATGTGAAAATGATGTTATTCCATGAAATTGCACTTTGCACCTTGCCAAGTCGTTAGTAGAGCGTGTATGGCTAACCGACACATTAATTTGGGACTAACAAGGGTGGAGAAGGGTAGCTCAAGAATTATCAGCGATCAATGGAGCGTGTGTGGCTAATCAGCACGTTGATTAGGTGGTAAACAACATCAAGAGGACCACACATATTTGCATGGTTATTCATATCTTATTTGTGATCCTCGGTATCCCAGTCACAAACTTGGAGGGCGTAATCGAGATTGAAACATGCCATTGAAAAGTTCAATGAATCTCAAAGAACTAGGAATTTCATAAAACTTAATTATTTCAAATTTTTGTTTTTTGGTGGTGAAATTGGTAAATCGTCATTTACCTCCCTTCAAATAATTTGTAATTAGATTACAACATTCCTTTTCTGAATTGTGAATTATTGTGTTAGGGTCCTAGCCTTAATATTTCACTTGGGTGTCATATTAAGGATTTTCTATCTAATTAAACTTGTTCTTCTTTTTCAGATGTCTACCTCCAACTCTTCTGACTCTTTCTCCCTCATGACCTTATGTGGGAGGGTAATCTTCGATGGGTCCAACTTCAACGATTAGATTCGTAACATACGCATGTCCCTTCGATACGAGGACAAATAATATGTCCTTGACAAAGAGCTGAAGAAAATTGATGAAGAAACTGCTACTCCTGAGCAATTGGCTGAGTATAGGTCTCATGCGATGGACGCGACAAAGGTGTCGTGTATCATGATTGCAACTATGACTCCTGAACTTCAAATGTCCTATGAGGACTTCTAGCCTTTCGAGATGCACCAAGACTTGATGGAAAGGTACCATCAAAGTGCTCAACAAGAAAGATACGAAATCATTGTCTCCATGATAGCAACAAAAATAAAGGATGGACAGTCCATCACGATCCACTTGTAAAGGATAGAAAGGTATGTGGATCGCTTGCTGAAGTTGGATGTCAACTTTAACAAAGAGTTGGCTATTGATATTATCCTGCACTCTTTGCCTCCTTGTTATGATTAGTTCAGAATGACTTATCACATAAAAAAAAGAGAAAGTCACTCTAAGAAAACTTCAAGGCCTATTGAGAATTGCTGAAAGTGGTTTAAAAGGCAAGTCTATTGTACCCACTCCTACTGCTGTTGCCCCGGTCTTGACAATTGGACATGGGAAGGGGAAGAAGAGGAAAGCTCCCTCTAAGAGCCACAAGGGAAAAATCCCATGATGGTTCTTCTTCGAGTGGATCCAAAGGTGGTTTTGCTTCTCCCTCTTCTAATCCGAAGGATGTAGAGGGCTTCCATTGTCATGAAAAAGGGCATTGGAAACGAAGTTGCTCGAAGTATCTATAGGATATCAAGGATGGGAAGATCAAGCCCACTTTCGTAGGTATTTACACTATTCAATCTAATAACTCATCACATGCTAGTTCTTGTGTCCTTGATACAGGAAGTGGTTTTCATATTTGTTCTGATTTGTATGGTCTAAGAAGAAGTAGGGATATGGAGCATGGGAAGATGAACTTGATCATAGGGAATAGGAAAGTGTCTCCTGTCACCAAGATTGGAGTTTATTCTTTAGTGCTTAGTATTGGGTTAGGATTAGAGTAGAATAATTGTTGCTACTTATCAGAGATGATGAGGTATATTATTTCCTTTCATGGTTTGTACTGACAAGGTTTTAGATTTTGGTTTAACAATGAAATTGGTTCTATAAATGTTATCTATAATGGTACTCTTAATTTTGAAGCATTGCCTTGTGATGAAGCATATGAAATTGTGATGGTTGTAGGCAACTTAGGAAATAATATGTTGCATATCGATTCGTCCAATGGTTTGGACAAAGCATGCTTGTGGCATTGTCGCCTTGGACATGTTAACAAGAAATGCATAGCCCAACTCCAAAAGGATGGAGTGTTGGAGTCGTTTGACCTTAGGTCAGATGACATGTGCAAGTTTTGTTTGCTTGGAAAGAACTAAGCCACCCTTCACTGGTTCTTGTGAAAAGGGTGAGGGAATATTGGATATCATACATACGGATATGTGTGGACCCTTTAGATCCACCACAAGGGATGCAACCCGCTTTTATGTGACTTTTACCGATGATTATAACAGATATGAGTATATCTACTTAATCAAGCATAAGTCAGAAACTTTTGCAAAGTTCAAAGAGTTTAAGCAAGAAGTAGAAAATCAATTGGGTAGGAAGATAAAGATGCTCCGATCTGATCGAGGTGGTGAGTATCTTAGTATCAAGTTTCATGACTATCTCAAGGACTGTGGAATTGTTTTACAATTGATACCGCCTAGGACACCGCAGCTGAATGGTGTGGCTGAGAGGCGTAATCTAACATTTACATGCACTCCTCACCCTATATATATATATATATATATATATATATATATATATATATATATATATATATATATATATATATATATATATATATATGGACCTAAGGCCAAGCCCAAAATAAAAGTAATCTAATACTATTTTCTGCCCAAATAATAAATACAATAAATGCTTAGAAAAGCAGAGTATAAACCATATTTTTGACCCAACACCTACCGAATCTCGGTGTGCAGATTCGATCCATGATGTAACGAGCTCTGTCATTCTTGACTTTAATGTTTTTTTTCCATTCCCTGCAAGGCCTCATCTATGATGTTCTCGAGTTTCAACGCTTCTAGTTGCACTTCCTTAATTTGTGTGGACAGGTGTGAATGGATGGCCA